ATGTTTTCTGCCACATTGTCCTCATTTGTTTACTCACTTTCTCACTGTCTTTACATTTCCATAATCAATGCAGTTAAAACACAACAACTCCCAGTGGTATGCTATTGCAATCTGTTTTTGGGGCATTAGTGCACATACTGTTCTATGAAGAGTTCGTCAAAAGCTGAAATTTAAGACTTAGACTTGCAGGGAATGAGTTGACAATCCACAACTATGCAGTAGTCATTGATGGTGCAATGCTCCAACCGCTAAAATGTAGTAGGGCTGCCTCCCCTGGACTGAGCTTGTCATCTCTTGAAGGCTGCGGCATGACAACGAAATTTTTCAGTGGAGCAAAATTAAATCAGATAATAGCATTTCAACTATGCAGTAACACACACTTTACTAAAGGTTGGGTCGACTTACTTTGTGAAACTGGACATCATGGCTCAGAGCTTCTTGAACAGATCTTCACAACCCTCTTCTTCCCACTGGGTGGTGGAGGCAGGAGGTAAACAAACAGCAACAGTAATAAAAAAATCTTTATTAAAATACAAGTTGAATGACCAAACTTTATTCAGAAACTATTCCCACATAATTGCATATAAAAGTGATTTTACATAAATAGTGAAAATATTACCTCTTTGGACTGCGAGAAAATGTCATCACTTGAATCTCTTCTTGGGGATGTCATCAAGGTGTCATCACCATTGAGAGGACATGAACAACAGCTCACTGATGAACGTGATGAGAAAGTGTCTACGCATGAAGACTCCTCTGCAGACTCTAAGGAGAAACCAGAAATACAAAGAGACAGTGGACTACCATTAAATAATTTGTGCCTACAATAACAGAATGATTTTTGCTATGATGTCAGTGAAGCATAAAAACGAAACAACTTTTGGACTTCCTGTGCCTCAAAAGTTTTAACTATGTTAAGTATTATAGACCTAATTTTATTGTCCAACTATTACCTTTGACAGAAAAGGCATCTGTGATGTTCCAGACAACGCTGGATTTTTCCTCCGGAATGTCACTTATGTCTTCAACTTCCGACCCAGTTTCATTCACAAGACATACATTTGTTTCTTCAGGGATGTTAAGCTTCTCTTTGGCTGTAAACATACATTCATTTTTGAAAATTATTAAAATGCTCAAATACAAGTCAAATTGAATGAATGAAAAAACATTACCTTGTCTCAAAAATGTTGAATATGAGGCTCCATTGAGCTTGATGTAGCATGACTGTCATGCATATTGGACTTTAGAGAGCACCATCACAAATGTCTGGAAAAAAACATTACTTAAACAGTGAGTTGGTTTTGTTTACACCATTGTCACCTCCAAAAAAAAAAAAAAAAAAAAAAAAAAAAAAAAAAAAAAGAAAACCCCTTTAGGGGTTTAAAGGGTTTTGGGGGGGGGGGGGGGCCCTTTCACTTTTCCCC